GTATTCATGAATGATATTTTGTATTTCTGTGGTATCAGTTGTAATGTCTCCTTCATTTCTGATTGAGTCCTTTCTCTTCTATTTCTGGTTAATCTGCTAATGGTCTATTGGTTTTCTTTTTCTTTTCAAAGAACCAACTTCTTGTTTTGTTGATCCTTTGTATATATTTTTTTGGTTTCCATTTTGTTTAGTTCTGCTCTGAGCTTCACTATTTATTTTCTTCTGCTAGCTTTGAATTTGGTTTGCTCTTCTTTTCCTAGTTTTTTGAGATGTGACAGTAGATTGTTAATTTGTGATATTTAAAACTTTTCAATGTAGGCATTTAAGGCTATGAACATTCCCCTTAGGACTGCTTTTGCTATATCCCACAGATTTTGATAGCTTGTGTCCTTTTTGTTGTTCAGTTCAAGAAATCTTTTGATTTCCATCTTAATTTTATCATTGACTCAAGACTCAAGGATTGTTCATCAGCAGGTTGTTTAGTTGACATGACTTTGTGTAGAATTGAGTTAATTTCTAGTTTTATTCCACTGTGGTCTGAGAGGATACATGGTATGATTTCAATTTTTCTGAATTTGCTGAGACTTGTTTTGTGGCCTAAGATATGATCAATCTTGGGGATTATCCATGTGCTGATGAGAGAATATATATTCAGTCATTTGGGGGGTAGAATGTTCTGTAAACATTTATTAGGTACATTTTGTTCTAGAGTCCCATTTAAGTCCAGTGTTTCCATTAAGTCCAGTGGTTTTCTGCTTCATTGATTTGTCTAGCTCTGTCAGTGAGATGTTGAAATCCTCAGCAATTACTATGGTACTGTTTGTTTCTTTTTTAGATCTATTAGAATTTGCTTTATGAATTTGAGAGTTCCTGTGTTAGAAGCATACATATTTAGGATTATTATATCTTCTTGTTGAATTGCTCCTTTTACCATTGTATAATGGCCATCTTTGTTCTTTTTTTTTTTTTTAGAACATTGTTAATTTAAAGTTTTTTAAAAAAACTTTATTTAAAAAAAGTTTTAAAAAGTATTTTATCTGATATGAGAATGGCTACATCTGTTTCTTTTGTTTCCATTTGCATGGAATATTTTTTTCTGTCCCTTTACCTTAAGTCTGTGTGAGCCCTTGCAAGTTAGGAAATAGCATATACATGGGTTATTTTATTGGAACATAGCATATACATGGGTTTCTTGGAAATAGCATATACATGGGTTGTTTTATTTTCATCCATTCAGTCAGTCTGTGTCTTTTAAGTAGGCATTAAGACCATTCATGTTCAGTGTTAGTATTATGTGGTATACTATTCTGTTTATCATATTGAATGAACTTATTATTTTGTTTTCCTTCTTGTGCTATTGTTTTATATGAGCTGTAGGCTTTAGCTTTCAGTATTTTTATACTGTGTTTTTATACTGATGTTTTTATATATGTTGTTCCATGCATAATGCAGTTCAGAGTATTTCCTGAAGGGCAGGTCTAATAGTAACAAATTCCCTTAGTGTTTGCTTGTCTGGAAAAATCTTCATTTCTCCATCATTTATGAAACTTAGTTTTGCAGCATAAAAATTCTCGGTTGGTACTTGTTCCATTTAAGAAGAAGACTAAAAATGGGGTCCCAGCCCCTCTGACTTCTAAGGTTCTGCTAAGAAGCCTGCTGTTAGCCTGATGGGTTTTCCTCTATAAGTTAGTTTTTGCTTTCATCTTACTCCTTGTAGAATTTTCTCCTTCATTTTGACTTTGGCCAAGTTGATGACTATGTGTCTTGGTGACGTCCTATTTGCTATGATCTTCTCAGTGTTCAATGACCATCTTGTATCTGGATATCCAAATCTCCGGCAATACCAGGGAACTTTTCCTCAATAATTCCATCAAATAGGTTTCTTATATGTTTTGATTTTTCTTCTCCTCCCTCAGGGAAACCTATAATTTTTTAATTGGCTGACTTCATAAAGTTCCATATTTCTCTGAGTAATTGCTCATTCTTCTTTATTTTTTTTTTCTGCATTTTTGACTGACTGTGTTAGTTTGAAATCCTTGTCATCACACAAGGAAATTCTTTCTGAAAATCTTTCTTCTGCTTGGTCTAGTCTGTTGCTAAAGCTTTCTGATGTATTTTGTAATTCTCTAAATGACTCTTTCATTTCTTTAAGTTCTGTTATATCCTTTCTTATATTGTCTAGCTCTTTTTTGATTTTTCATTTTTTCACTGATGTCTTAAAATATTTTTTGCTTCTTTGTGTTGGTTTTCAATTATCTCTTCAGTCCCACTCATCTTATTTGCCATTCATATTCTAAATTTCTGACATTTCAAGGATTTCCTTTTAGTTGGGGTTCATTGCTGTAAATCCATTGTAATTACTTGAGGGTGTCACATAGCTTGTTTTTTCATGTTGCCAGAGTTATTTTGCTGGTTTCTTCTCTTCTGTCACCTCAGGGCAGGTAGGTTTGTAGCACACCTGTTCTTGTTTGCTGGGAACTCTCTTAGTGAGAAGAAGAGGTCCCTAGATGGGGCTTTTGTGATCTACTCTGGAAGATTAACCCAGCAGGGGAGGAACAGATGCACCGAGAGCCTTTAATGCAGCTGATCTGTGTTATGCTGTTCCCCTGTGATTGTCATAGTCCAAGCCTGTGTTGAATGATCTTTGTGCAGAGTGGTGGGCTGTTCCCCAGGCTACTGTTGGAAGTTCATGTTGGGGGCTGGGTGAGTCCCTCTCCATAGAGGTTGGCATTGCAGGGGATTGCTGTGCCTGGATCTCCCTATAGTGGCAAGAGTGGCAGCTGGGTGAGGCTTTCTAGGCAGTGGTCATGGATGTCAGGGATGAGGGCATTTGCTCCAGCTGGGTCCAGATGTGATAGTAGCTTGAGGCCAGTGGGTCACTGGTGGAGCATTTGACCTTGGGGGCAGTTGGTGCCAAGAAACTGGTGGGAGTCATGGGGGTAGGCTGTGGGGCCTGGCAGCTGCGTGGAAACCTTATGGGCAGGCTGCAGGTTGTGGCGATAGAGCTGGAGCCTCAGGCCCAGGGCCATAAGGTCTGACAGCAACAAGGGAGCCTCAGATCCAGGGCCATAGGCCCAGTGGTGACACTGGAGCTTCAGGAGCAGGGGACTGTCAGCAGTAGGGAGCTGGGGCTGCAGGCCCACTGGTGGTGCTGGGACCTAGCGGGCAGGACACAGGGCCTGGCGCGAGTGGGGAAGCCTCAGTGGCAGGGCCACGGGGCCTGGCAGTGGTGCTGCAGCCTGAGAGGCAAAGCCAGGTGACAGTGCATAAACCATGGGTGCAGAGCCAGGGGGCCAGATGGCAGCTTGGGGATAGCAGGGGCAAGGTTGTGAGGCCAAGCTGCTGGGCCACCAGGGCTCTCTGCCTGCCCAGGTTCCATGGAGGCAGCCCCTGTGGGGCTTCTCGTGGAGCATCCATGGCACCCAAGCCATTCAGATCTCCCGTGAGGGGCAGTGCTCAGCTCCCTGTCATGGGGCAGGCAAGGGTGTCCACTCTCCCTCCCCCTTCGCGGCTGGCCAGGGTGATGTGGAGGCAGCTGCAGCAAAGGTGAGCCCTGTGCAGACCTGGTGTTCTGTACGTGACAGCTCAGAGTGGTGTCGATTGCAGTAAACCTGAAACGGTAGCCACTGAGTCCCTCCTGCACCTGCTTTCCAATGCAGTGTCTCTGCACGGACTCCAAGCAGCTCCCTGATCAGTCCAGAGGTCCGCGGTGGAGGGGCCCTCACATCTTGGCCACAATGCCTGCGGGGGACTGTGGAGCCCTGGGCTCTCTGCTTCTACCCTTCCTCATCTGCAGATGCCTCCCCCAAAGCCCCTTCCAATCATGCCCAGTGGATTGCCCCATCACCTTCTCCTTTGCTCTGAACATCCCCCATCACGTCTCTGATGAGTCACAGTGCTCCTGCCAACAAGGCCCGTCCGTAGCTGGGCAGCCACCTGCACCTTCAGTCCTCTGTTTGCCAGCGGCACGTGCGGCTGCTGCTAGTCCACCATCTGGCCTACTCCCTCCCAGTCTGCATTTTTAAGAAGCTGGATGGGACGGTGGTCCTTGTTGCGCTTGCATTCACAAGTGGCTTGGACTCACAGCGCAAAAGCTTTACTCTAGTCGCCTGCTTTTGTCCATACCCCAAAATTGGTTTTATTGGACATCCTGCTAGACAGACATCTGGCTGCTTCTTAAGTTTTTTGTTGTTGCTGTTTTCCATCTCCTAGCATCCACTTTCAAATAAAATATTATACAGTTTAATAGTTTAATATGTGAACATTTTCAATTCATCTGTGAACCTGGGAATTATAATTGAGTGATCCTGATCCATCACAAAATCTTGACCTATCAAAGAAGTATTCAATTTTCCTCAATATACCAAGCTTTCTAAGGAAGTAGTCTAAAATACCTAGGATTTTTTTTTGAAATTATAAAAATTTGTAGTTTATTCAATGTGCAACATTATTCAAAATTCTAAACATTAGAAATGACTGTGGTAGTCACCGTTTTGGTACAAGAGAAGGCAATTAAACAAAAGTGATAAAGTTTAGAAATAGGAAATTTTGAGGATCGGTGATTTTATAATAAAATTAATGCATGAAATAAAATACATCTTGGACTCAAGAACAGAAGGATCTAAATACTAGCTAGCTAGTGTTTTCAGCTGAGTTCACTTTTGACAAACATGAAAAATGGGGATAATTATGTCTTTCTGTACCTCCTACTGTACTAAGAACAAACAAACCAATATATAAAAAGCCCGTTGTGGTACTGAGGGGAAAGAATACCTAGGATTTTTACCAAAGTGCTTGAAACAAAGATTTTCATCTTAGTCCTCAATTAACCAGAAAGTTTAGTTGAATAGAATCTCCCATTTCTCAAACACTGTGGTGTTTCCGTTTAACTATTCTACAAAGTACTCCCAGTTTTCCCATAAATGAATTTTGGAGTAGAAGCTATAATCATTCCCACCTAATTCCAAGAGGCAATGTACATTTCAGCAAATCTGTTATACCTTTTGATGAGCATTTGGAGAGAGTCTGTTATGGTTTCCATGAGCTTGATGACTTCGGGGTACGTGAGGTCTGCACAAGGGTTGCCATTGATGGAAACCACTTCGTCCCCCTCACAGAGCCCCGACCCGGAGGCTTTGCTCTGGTTTCGAATCTGAGTGGAGTGAAAAAGGCATAGTTAGAACAACAGGACCTGTAAAAAGCATGCCACTTTCTCTGAGAAACAGAGGTAAACAGATCTGCAGTTTGTCAAACCAGCCCTGGTTTTTAATTCACCTGTTAACACACAAGACCATCTTAAACACATCTCATCACTCCCCAAACACACATACACACACACACACACACACAATTTATTATGTACCATAATGCCAAATGTAATTCACGACATTGTAAATAAACAGAAAAAGAGAACAGAAATCAATGTAAAGGAACCAGAATAAAAGGAATAAAGAACAGAGAAAAGTGGGGAAAGGTGTTAGATGCTTACATCGATTATACATTAAAAAATAATTGTTCCACTGTAACATTTTACCCCAATAAGAAAGTTATTTCTTCCATTAAAATAAATTTTAAAATCCCCTCCCATTGCTAAGAAAATGTAGGACAGGGCTAAAAGGGCTGATAAAAAGGCTAAAAGGGCTGATAAAAGCCATCCCAGGATAGTAATGAAGTCAGGGAGCCAGGATATATGAGAACATGTTCAAGAGAGTGGCCCAGACTAAAATCAACTCTTCAAGACATGGTACTAGCAAGACCATTACAAAAAGAAAGAAAAACGAGAGATATTCTGTTAAAAAAACAAACAAAAAACCCAGCCCGGGTTGGTGGCTCACGCCTGTGTAATCCTAAGCACCCTGGGAGGCCGGAAGCCGGGCGGATTGCCGAGGTCAGGAAGTTCGAAACGCCTGAGCAAGAGTTGGAGACTCTTGTCTCTATTATAATAGAGACGAAATTTAATGTGCGCAACAATATATATATATAGAAAAATTGCCAGGCATCGGGTGTTTGTTTTGGCATGGCTGTTAAGTCCCAGCACTGGGGGAGGCGCTGAGGCAGGAAAGGAGTTGGCTTGAAGCCCCCAGGGAGTTTTTGAGGTTGGGGCTTGTGACGGCTTTAGGCTTGATGCGCATGCACTCACTCTGAGAGCCTGGGCAACAAAGTGAGACTCTGTCTCAAAAAAAAAAATAACAAAAAAACCCAGCCTTGTTATAAGGACCGCATCATATTCTAGCACAGAATGATGTAGAACACTAAGTGACCATAAAGCTAGGAGAGAACTTCAGATGCTGCAAGAAGAGAAATTCAGAGACACAGAATGGTGGCAGAGGGCTCTCGCCACTCCTTAGTGAGGAATGACTAAGGATTGATATCCTTTATCATTATGATTATGGCAAAAAGTTGTGCTGATCATTCTCCATCTGCCCTCTCCTGTGTGGGGGTGGAAGGGGAGGACAACTGGCCTCTAGTGACCACGTTGGCTGGGCTCCCTTGCGCTCTGGCTCCTGCTTGGATTTGGCCAACGGGAAGCACCAGTAGAGATGAAAGAGAAGGAAATGAGAGATCAGGGCCTTTGCACTCCCTGGTGGATCTGCTTGGCCATGATTTGAGGGAGGCTCTGCTGTGTGGCCTGGCCAGTCTGCCCCAGTACCATTGCCTTAACTCTTGTTAGGTTCCAACAACACACAGTATCCCCTTCTACCTCTAGGCCTAAGGGTGATAATAGCTTTCTGCTTTTCATCTCTGGATTTCTGGTGCTTCATTGTTGGTTCTACCTATAGTCCCTGCATTATATTATCTTGAATGACTTCTTTGAGTGTGTCACCTATTTCCTGCTGGGACCCCAAATGATGCTAATGTGCTTAGATTTCATTTTGTAATATGAGCTTAATAGATAGTTCTCAACGAACCATGTGTCACGATCATACAATCTTGGATTTAAAAACCCTTTAAGGCCGGGCGCTATGGCTCACGCCTGTAATCCTAGCTCTTGGGAGGCCGAGGCGGGCGGATTGCTCAAGGTCAGGAGTTCAAAACCAGCCTGATCTTACTCCTTGTAGAATTTTCTCCTTCATTTTGCTTTGGCCAGTTGATGACTATGTGTCTTGGTGATGTCCTATTGCTATGATCTTCTCAGTGTTCAATGACCATCTTTATCTGGATATCCAAATCTCGGCAATACCAGGGAACTTTTCCTCAATAATTCCATCAAATAGGTTTCTTATATGTTTTGATTTTTCTTCTCCTCCCTCAGGGAAACCTATAATTTTTATTGGCTGACTTCATAAGTTCCATATTTCTCTGAGTAATGCCATTCTTCTTTATTTTTTTTTTCTGCATTTTGACTGACTGTTTAGTTTGAAATCCTTGTCATCACACAAGGAAATCTTTCTGAAAATCTTTCTTCTGCTTGGTCTGTCTGTCTAAAGCTTTCTGATGTATTTTGTAATTTCCCTAACTGACTCTTTCATTTCTTTAAGTTCTGTTATATCCTTTCTTATATGTCTAGCTCTTTTTTGATTTTTCATTTTTTCACTGATGTCTTTAAAATATTTTTTGGCTTCTTTGTGTTGGTTTTTCAACTATCCTTTCATCCCACTCATCTTATTTGGCCATCCTATTTTAAATTCCATTCTGACATTCAAGGATTTCCTTTAGTTGGGGTTCATTGCTGTAAATCCATTGTAATTACTTGAGGGGTCACATAGCTTGTTTTTTCATGATGTCCAGAGTTATTTTGCTGGTTTCTTCTCTTCTGTCACCTCAGGGCAGGAAGGTTTGTAGCACACCTGTTCTTGTTGCTGGGAACTCTCTTAGTGGAAGAAGAGGGTCCCTAGATGGGGCTTTGTGATCTACTCTGGAAGATTAACCAGCAGGGAGGAACAGATGCAACGAGAGCCTTTAATGCAGCTGATCTGTGTTATGCTGTTCCCCTGTGATTGTCACAGTCCAAGCCTGTGTTGAATGATCTTTGTTGGCAGAGTGGTGGGCTGTTCCCAGGCTACTGTTGGAAGTTCATGTTGGGGGCTTGGCGAGTCCCTCTCCATAGAGGTTGGCATTGCAGGGATTGCTGTGCCGTGATCTCCCTATAGTGGCAAGAATGGCAGCTGGGTGAGGCTTTCTAGGCAGTGGTCAGGGATGAGGGCATTTGCTCAGCTGGGTCCATATGTGATAGTAGCTAGGCCAGTGGTCACTGGTGGAGCATTTGACCTCAGGGGCAGTTGCTGCCAGGAAGCTGGGTGGGAGTTATGGGGGTGGCTGTGGCCTGGCAGCTGCTGGAAACCTTATGGGCAGGCTGCAGGTTGTGGCGATAGAGCTGGGGCCTCAGGCCCAGGGCCATAAGGTCTGACAGAACAAGGGAGCCTCAGATCCAGGGCCATAGGCCTAGTGGTGACACTTGGAGCTTCAGGAGCAGGGACTGTCAGCAGTAGGGAGCTGGGGCTGCAGGCCCACTGGTGTGCGGGACCTAGCGGCAGGACACAGGGCTGGCGCGGAGTGGGGAAGCCTCAGTGGCAGGGCCACGGGCGCTGGCAGTGTGCTGCAGCCTGAGAGGCAAAGCCAGGTGACAGTGCATAAACCAATGGGTGCAGAGGCAGGAGGCCAGATGGCAGCTTGGGGATAGCAGGGGCAAGGTTGTGAGGCCAAGCTGCTGGGCCACAGGGCTCTCTGCCTGCCCAGGTTCCATGGAGGCAGCCCCTGTGGGGCTTCTCGTGAGCATCCATGGCACCCAAGCCATTCAGATCTCCCGTGAGGGGCAGTGCTCAGCTCCCTGTCATGGGGCAGGCAAGGGTGTCCACTCTCCCTCCCCTTCGCGCTGGCCAGGGTGATGTGGAGGCAGGCTGCAGCAAAGGTGAGCCCTGTGCAGACCTGGTGTTCTGTACGTGACAGCTCAGAGTGGTGTCGATTGCAGTAAACCTGAAACGGTAGCCACTGAGTCCTCCTGCACCTGCTTTCCAATGCAGTGTCTCTGCACGGACTCCAAGCAGCTCCCTGATCAGTCCAGAGGTCCGCGGTGGAGGGGCCCTCACATCTTGGCCACAATGCCTGGGGGAACTGTGGAGCCCTGGGCTCTCTGCTTCTACCCTTCCTCATCTGCAGATGCCTCCCCCAAAGCCCTTCCAATCGTGCCAGTGGATTGCCCATCACCTTTCTCCTTTGCTCTGAAATCCCCCATCACGTCTCTGATGAGTCACAGTGCTCCTGCCAACAAGGCCCGTCCGTAGCTGGGCAGCCACCTGCAACCTTCAGTCCTCTGTTGCCAGCTGCATGTGCGGCTGCTGCTAGTCCACCATCTGGCCTACTCCCTCCCAGTCTGCATTTTAAGCAGCTGGATGGGACGGTGGTCCTTGTTGCGCTTGTATTCACAGTGCTTGGCTCACAGCGCAAAGCTTACTCTAGTCGCCTGCTTTTGTCCATACCCCAAAATTGGCTTTATTGGAGATCCTGCTTAGACAGACATCTGGCTGCTTCTAAGTTTTATTTGTTGTGCTCTTTTCATCTCCTAGCATCCACTTTCAAATAATATATAACACAGTTTAACAGCTTAATATGTGAACATTTTAAATTCATCTGTGAAGCCTGGGAATTATAATATTAGTGATCTGATCCATCACAAAATCTTGACCTATCAAAGAAGTATTCATTTCCTCAATATACAAGCTTTCTAAGGAAGTAGTCTAAAATACTCTAGGATTTTTTTTTGAAATTATAAAATTTGTAGTTTATTCAATGTGCAACATTATTCAAAATTCTAAACATAGAAATGACTGTGGTAGTCACCGTTTTTGGTTACAAGAGAAGGCAATTAAACAAAAGTGATAAGTTTAGAAATAGGAAATTTTGAGGATCGGTGATTTTATAATAAAATTAATGCATGAAATAAAATACATCCTTGGACTCAAGAAAGAAGGATCTAAATACTAGCTAGCAGTGTTTTCAGTAGTGAGTTCACTTTTGACAAACATGAAAAATGGGGATAATTATTCATTTTGTACCTCCTACTGTACTAAGAACAAACAAACCAAATATAAAAGCCATTGTGGTACTGAGGGGAAAGAATACCTAGGATTTTACCAAGTGCTTGAAACAAAGATTTCATCTTAGTCCTCATTAACCAGAAAGTTTAGTTGAATAGAATTCCCATTTCTCAAACCA